CCTTGACCCCTCCCGACCCCTGCAACCCCGCCTTGACCCCGCGACCCCTCCGTGACCCCTGTGTGACCCCTGACCTGTGACCCCGACAGCGCTGGCGCTGCTGTTTGCGGAGGAGCCGGGTTTGGTGCTGGAAGTGGAGGAGGGGAGAGCGGCGGCCATCTTGGAGCGCTACAGGAAGAGCGGCGTCAGCGTCAGCCATCTTGGCACCAGCGGCCCCATGGGGCCCAGCGCGGAGGTACGGGGATATTATGGGATGGCCGCGGGGTCACGTGGGGTAGCCATGTTGGCAGCCATCTTGGCAGCCATCTTGGTAGTCGTGTTGGAGGCCATGTTGGCAGGCCTGTTGGTGGCCATGTTGGTGGCCATGTCGGCAGCCATATTGGGTGCCATGTTGGCAGCCATATTGGAAGGCATATTGGCAGCCATATTGGCAGCCATATTGGCAGCCATGTCGGCAACCATGTCGGCAGCCATGTTGGCAGCCATATTGGGAGCCATGTCATCAGACATATTGGCAGCCATGTCGGCAGCCATGTCAGCAGCCATATTGGAAGCCATCTTGGCAGCCATATTGGAAGCCATGTCAGCAGTCATATTGGCAGCCATGTTGGCAACCATGTCAGCAGCCATATTGGCAGCCATGTTGGCAACCATGTCAGCAGTCATATTGGCAGCCATGTTGGCAGCCATATTGGTAGCCACGTCAGCAGCCATGTCAGCAGCCATATTGGCAGCCATATTGACAGCCATGTCAGCAGCTATATTGGCAGCCATGTCGGCAGCCATGTTGGCAGCCATATTGGCAGCCATGTTGTCAGCCAAGTTGGCAGCCATGTTGGCAGCCATATTGGAAGCCATGTCATCAGCCATATTGGCAGCCATGTCAACAGCCATGTTGTCAGCCATATTGGCAGCCATGTCAGCAGCCATGTCGGCAGCCATGTTGGCAGCCATGTCAGCAGCCATATTGGCAGCCATATTGTCAGCCATGTCAGCAGCCATATTGGCAGCCATGTCAACAGCCATGTTGTCAGCCATATTGGCAGCCACGTCGGCAGCCATGTTGTCTGCCATCTTGGCAGCCATGTCGGCAGCCATATTGTCAGCCATATTGGCAGCCATGTCGGCAGCCATGTTGGCAGCCATATTGGCAGCCATGTCAACAGCCATGTTGTCAGCCATCTTGGCAGCCATGTCGGCAGCCATATTGTCAGCCATATTGGCAGCCATGTCAACAGCCATATTGGCAGCCATGTTGGCAGCCATATTGGCAGCCACGTCAGCAGCCATGTCAGCAGTCATATTGGCAGCCATGTTGTCAGCCATGTCAGCAGCCATATTGGCAGCCATGTCAACAGCCATGTTGTCAGCCATATTGGCAGCCATGTCCGCAGCCATATCTGAAGCCATGTTGGCAGCCATATTGGTAGCCATGTCAGCAGCTATATTGGCAGCCATGTCGGCAGCCATCTTGGCAGCCATATTGGCAGCCATGTTGTCAGCCAAGTTGGCAGCCATGTTGGCAGCCATATTGGAAGCCATATTGGGTGCCATATTGGCAGCCATGTCAACAGCCATGTCATCAGCCATATTGGCAGCCACGTCGGCAGCCATGTCAGCAGCCATGTTGTCAGCCATGTCAGCAGCCATATTGGCAGCCATATTGGGTGCCATATTGGCAGCCATGTCAACAGCCATGTCAGCAGTCATATTGGCAGCCATGTCAACAGCCATGTCAGCAGCCATATTGTCAGCCATGTCAGCAGCCATATTGGCAGCCATGTCAGCAGCCATATCTGAAGCCATATTGGCAGCCACATTGGCAGCCATGTCGGCAGCCATCTTGGCAGCCATGTCGGCAGCCATGTTGTCAGCCATATTGGCAGCCATCTTGGCAGCCATATTGGAAGCCATGTTGTCATCCATATTGGCAGCCATGTTGGCAGCCATGTCAGCAGTCATATCGGAAGCCATATTGGCAGCCATATTGGAAGCCATGTCAGCAGTCATATTGGCAGCCATATTGGGTGCCATATTGGCAGCCATGTCGGCAGCCATCTTGGCAGCCATATTGGCAGCCATGTTGTCTGCCATATTGGCAGCCATGTTGGCAGTCATGTCAGCAGCCATATCGGAAGCCATATTGGCAGCCATATTGGAAGCCATGTCAGCAGTCATATTGGCAGCCATATTGGGTGCCATATTGGCAGCCATGTCGGCAGCCATGTTGGCAGCCATATTCCCAGCCATATTGGAAGCCATGTCAACAGCCATGTTGTCAGCCATATTGGCAGCCATATTGGCAGCCATGTCAGCAGCCATATTGGCAGCCAGGTCGACAGCCATGTCAGCAGCCATATTGGCAGCCAGGTCGACAGCCATGTTGGCAGCCATGTCAGCTGTAGACAGTGAGCCATATTGGGTGCCATATTGGCAGCCATGTCAACAGCCATGTCAGCAGTCATATTGGCAGCCATATTGTCAGCCATGTCAGCAGCCATATTGGCAGCCATGTCAACAGCCATGTTGTCAGCCATGTTGTCAGCCATGTTGTCAGCCATATTGTCAGCCATGTTGGCAGCCACGTCGGCAGGCGTGTCGGCAGCCATGTTGTCCCCCAG